TCAAAGTGCCCTTGTTCGACCTTTAGCAATGTCATGTTTAAGTAGATGCCAAGATCTCATTGGTTCCTAAGCATCAACTCATAGTACCTTCAACCTCATTGGCTCTTGCAACAAACATTCGAACATACAAAGATACAAAGATACAAAGCCACAAAGATACAGAAGCTCACACCACTGACATATGAGCTATTTTTTCAAAATAGCTCAACTAGACTCGATTTTGCCGATTTTTGTCTCACCATACAACGAAAAAAATTCCAACAACTTGCAAAATAGACTTTGCTTACGTTGGGAATTAAAGCATTATTCATTCATATATTTCTCCCTGTTTCTGATTGATTTGAATTGGTCAGTATGTATATTGAGAGACAGGTGTTTTAAATTTATAACGGAGCGGGACTAACAGTACTGTAAACAGCCTTAGCTGAAACAACCTTTTTACTTTTCTGCAGATCATGTTTTCTACTTAGCACCATGCCCTCTAATAAGAAGAAGTGGAAAAGGGGCTTCGATAAACGAAACAAGGACATTCACGATTTTAGAGGTATGCAAACCAAATGCATCTTAAAACTTAGAGACAATGACTATCATCTCCTGTGGGGTCAGTGTTAGCATAGAATTGGCGAACGAACTATAATAGAACAAATTTTAGGCAACAGGCCCTTCAGCAGTTTTAAAATAGTCCAGGTGTAGATCTTTATTTAAGAGTATTCCAATACTGTTTTAAACACGCCAAACTAAAAATGTCATTACACATTTTTTCCTGGTCCTAGAATCTGAAGAACGAACCCAAGAGGGAAAAGAGAACCCAGCACCAGGTCAGGGCGCCTGCGGGACAACTGCGGATGAAAAACAAGGTAAATGCATTTTCCGGTAAATTTACAAGTCTTTAAATCATGTGCAGTTTGGGTCAGTGGATGTTAGAGCCAAGCTCGGCAGTGTGGTGTACCTCAGGAGTCTATCGTAGGCTCTATTTCATACCGTTCTTCTCTGATGTTATTTAGAAAGTAGATCTGCACCAAACTTTCTATGCCACTGATTATCTTTCGTTTCAACCAACTATACCTGGTGATTTGAATTGTGCTGTTTACAACATTCAGTCATACCTGTCCTGGCTGCAATCACCTGGGCAATTCCCGGACAGGTCCAGCCCTTCGGGCTCGGAGTCATGGTGCTCTCCCTGGGTATCTGACGTACAGTGAGGGAAAATCGAAAATACTTTTCGTTGATGGTGAAGCACATCGCTTTGTGGTTTACACGATGGCGCTGGGCAGCGTGGAGAAGACACAACGTATTTCTGGTCAATGAGGAGGTCTCGGGGGTGGGTAATTTTCAGTTCCACTGTCCTTCTCGTTTACAAACTGCATCTTTGAAACGTCTGCACATCTAGTTCCAGTAAAAGCTCGCCGTAGAGTATGTCCTTGGGAATTCTCCCGGCCTCCATGCGGCTGACATAGCTAATCCAGCCCAGCCGTCTCTGACTGAGCAAGGCGAACATACTAGATACTCTCGCCTGTGCTAGGCGTGATGCCCAAAAACCTTTCTGAGGCAGCACAGGTGGCAGGTGTTAAGTCTGCGCTCTTGGCGGGAGTATAGGGTCCAGGTCTCGCTGCCGTAGAGCAGCGTACCTACATAACATAACAAAGCGAGCTGAGCACGCAGGCCTGGTACACCTTCATCTTGGTGCTGATGGTCAGCATGGTGTTGTCCTAGACCTTCTCTCCAAGATGGGCCAGTGAATAGAGCCTTCGTGTTGACTTGGTCAAGGCTTTTTTCAGGTCGATAAAGGCAATATACAGGGGTTTCCTTTGCTCACGACACTTCTCCTGCAGCTGCCTCAGTGAAAAGATCATGTCAACTTTTGACCTTAAATTCTAACTGTGTACCCACACTGTGCCACACGGGGCACCTGATCTGCTCGCGTCTGCAACCTGTTCAACACTACACGGGCAAAGGCCTTCCCAGTGATACTCAAGAGGTATATTCCACGGTAGCTGTTACAGTCGCTGCAGTCTCCCTTGTTCTTATAAAGTGTAATGGTGTTGGCGTCGTGCATTTCCTAGAGTACTGCTCCTTCCTCTCAACACTGTAGCAAGAGCTCATGTAGATGGTGAAGGACAGTGGTATTCATACCAACCTTCATGACCGCTGACGGGATGCCATCGTTACCTGGTGCTTTGCCGCAGGCTAGAGAGTTGATTGTTTTGCTTAGAATGGTAAATGCTTTTAGGTTGAGGGCGTACCTTGCTGCCCACCAAAGAGTAGTTGGTGCCACAGTCAGCACTGTGGTAACTGCGGGTACTGGGGACACAGCTGATAATTTTGAAATTATTTATACCCAAGTTACTTAATCGTATACCTGCTTTTGCAGAGTAACCTAGCGAGCAGGAAAGTGACTGATCCAAATTTCGCTCTGATTTTGTTCAGATGACCACCACAGGAAAGAGGACAAAAGAGGACGCACGGGGAGAAAGGGTAAAAAAGGCAAGAACCAGGGAAAAAGAGAAACAAGTCCTTGTGAGTGTAGTTAAAGTTTAGAAATGCAGTTTCAAAGACGTTAAGGTTGATTTGGACAGAATGATAGCGATACTCACGCTGACTTAACCTATTGATATTAATGTGCCAGCCAGAAGCGCATTGTTGTTTCAATCGTTACAAATTTGAATAAACAGTGATGTCTCCTATAGGAAAGCACTACTACCCAAATTTTGTTTTCAAAATTTGCAATTGAATCTTCGAGGTAGACTAGTGTCTATTACAATGTCAGCTACAACTATCCACAGTTTGCGGTAAAAATACCATCAAACTATATTGTGATCCTCTAGACTTCATTGAGATCATAATATCAGTGACTGACAGTCTCTCTCAGGTCTCCACCATCGTTATGGTTCCTTAGATAACAACCTTTACCAGAAAAAATCACACACGCGGGGTACTCTGTGATTTATTGATGCCATCTACCAGTCTCTTTATTTTACAAAGGGATACCCGGGGGATACGTCATGCTATATTGGAAATAAGTTGAGTTGCGGCCATGGATTAAATCCTCTTCCGTGCCGATAACTAGAGTCGTTTGAAATGGTTTCACATGCAATGATTTTTATGCCCTTTATATGAACAGCCGTTGGAAAACAACAGGAACGAACACCAAGTGCATCAGTAGCAGGAAACCATGAGGTGGAAAGTGGAGCCACTGCTGATAACAAACGATTTGGAAAACAATTAAATGGTAAAAAAAATCATCCTTGTTTAAGCTTTGCCATACAATTGTTGGATACACACATTGACTCTGACGTCGAATTAACAAACCAAACAGCTGCTCTTTTCCAGAAATAAAAAACAACAAATTCCAAGAAAGCGTTGTATGGTTAATGTAGCTAAAAACAATCTGTTTAACCTAAATTGTACAGCAATTCCTCTTAAATTGTCTGCTGCATCGGGAAAAAGCCTCAGGAGAAGAAAAGGCCACTTGAGACGCGAAGACATAATTATTGCATTTCTAAATACTTTCACCTATAATATTTCAAATATAACCTTTTTGTACTTCCACCGATTTGTCCTTATTTCAGATAACCATCCTAACGAACAAAGCAAGCAAGGTAACAAGGGACACGGCCAAGGACCATCACTGAACCACGAGAGGGGCTATGCAATGTCATCAAAAGGAAGAGGGAAGCCTTTTGGTAAGGGCAAAGATCACATGTTGTTTGGGCAACCCCTCCACGCTCCAGGCATTTTGCTGTTATGATTCCAAACAAGTAAACAGAGCATGCTCACGAGGAAACAACGCGAAGTCAAAGACGGAAGAGATTGAAAGGAATAACTAGCTTTTGCCAAAAAACGTCTGAAAATCCGTTAATTTATTCCCACGCTCACTAAGACTCAAAAGAATATAACATTTATGTGAGAAATATACGGTGAAGGACCAATTAATTTTCCCATGGGCTGATTTTACAAAACTAGTAACATATTTACAACAATGCTTTATAACAGTTGGTACCCTTATGACAGTATCTATATTTTTTTAATGAAATGCTGGAAAATCTTTTACCAGTATGATATCAATTGGGTAGTTGTGTATGATAGGATAGACTCGATAAGCAAATTAATTTATGCTGGAACGTTTTATTTATAACACAGATGCTAAAACCCAAGACCATCGACCCCCAAGGCCTGATACAATAAACGTAAAACCCGGTTTATCACCGAACAATACACGACCTCCTGCTCAGGAACCGTTTCGGCCGAAAGTTGCTTCCTTCGACCCCAAAGTGTTGAAAGAAAAAGAAAGCAGCCAGGTAGTCCAAAGGTTGAATGAGGGACTACCTTACCTGAAATTCCTTCTTCGATCACAACAACAGCAGCACAACAGCGGTGAATTCATTTACGACCTTACATGCACTTTAGCAAGAGCCTGTGAAGCGCCATCAGGTGAAAACACGAATAAGATTCTAGCCGCACTTAAAGGCTCTCTTTTCTTGACTTCAAAAATTCCCAGTCTTCTTCATCTTCTTGAAGCATCACCTTCAATGAATGGCCAAGTCTTTCTTCAAAGGCTTTTTCAGAGTTTCATTGTGGTCTTCATGAAATACCTTAACCACTTGCCTAGCTCATATGCTGACCTGCCGTACAATCAGTTAAAAGGGGCCTTAGATCTGGCAACCATTGATGGTAAAGTAAAGCTACTGAAAGATCTTGATGCTTTTAAACAAGCAAGAGAAGATATCATTAGAAGCGAAAGGCAGAGGAAAGGAAAACGTTATAAACTTGCAGAAAAGCCACCAGACGATTTTAGAATGATACCAGTTTGTCCCGCTAACAAAGAAATCACGACTCAAGAACGACCTTTCCTACGAAAGAATATTTCAAGAGGAAGATACGAAAATGCCGAACACTATCTAGATGTTCAGTTTCGGCTGCTTCGAGAAGACTTTCTCGAGCCACTTAGAGAAGGAATTCATGAAACCATCCGAAATGTACCCAAACAGCAACGTAAGCAGTCCATGAAAAACTACCACAGCGTACGAATCATCGGCAAAGAATTCACGCGGGATGGGATCATTCATCAAGTCCAAATCGATGTTTCCAGAATAGATACCAGCAGGTGGCCAAAATCCAAAAGACTCTTGTTTGGTTCATTTCTTTGTCTTTCAAAAGACAACTTCAAAACTATGCTTTTTGCTACAGTTTCTAGCCGTGAAGAGGAAAACGTGAAGCAAGGACGAATCGACATTCGATTTATCGAAGAGCAAGATGTTCGGGGTATCGAGAACCGCAATCACGTTTACCAGATGGTTGAGTCTCCCGCCTACTTCGAATCCTATCGTTACGTTCTCAGAGGATTGCAAGAACTAGATGAAGAATCGTTGCCATTTAAAAAATATCTGGTTGAGTGCAGTGCAGAAGTTGATCCACCAGCGTATCTAAGACGCGATGAGACTGAGGGGCCGGTATGCTACGATCTTAGCAAGGCCCTTGATGTCCCTGATGTACCAAACGCTACAACAGTACCTGTTTTACAATGTGATGCTTGGCCACCAGTCAGAAAACTCCCTTTGAATGGCTCCCAGCTCGAAGCTCTGAGAACAGCAATCACAACTGAATTTTCTGTAATTCAGGGACCACCAGGAACGGGAAAAACATACGTTGGTGCCAGAATCGTTAGATGTTTGCTTGAGAATCGACGTGTGTGGGATCCCTTCTTTGTCTCACCCATGCTTATGGTTTGCTACACAAATCATGCCCTCGATCAGTTTTTGGAAAAGGTGTTAGAATTCGTTCCTAAAGATAAAATCATTCGTGTTGGAGGAAGATCCAAAAGCAAGGATCTAGAGGAATGCAACCTGAAAAAGTTTACGTACCAACACAGGTTGTACGACAAAAGGGATGAGCTAAGATACAAGATGCGGGAAAATGAAGATGAAATGAAAGATTTGAAGGAGAAACTTGCAAAGGCAGACCGCCAGCTCTTGGAGTTCGATGACTTGGAAGAGCTATTGCATACAGCACATGCGCGGGAGCTTTACAATACTGTTTTCCCCACTAACGTAGCACCCGCTTCCCAAATTCCAAGAAACACATTCAGATTATGGTTATGTAACAACAAAATGGTTGGTTCATGTAACAGAACTTCAAATGAGTCAGTGAATCAAAAACGCAGTATTGAAGAAGATGAAGTATATTATGACTCATCACTATTGTACGCATCGCACGATGGCCCTGGCAATACACCACCAACTTGTGCATCACGAAGTCCCTCAACAGGAGTGGATCCTTTGCCGAAGGGAAGCCCGAAGACAAAGGAAGTCGTCTACAAAGAGGGAGAGCTTACCGAAAACTCAGATGAGTCTATGAAGCAAAGGTGTTTATCATTTGAAAAAGGCCAAACCTCAACGAGGAATCAGCCACCAATAAATTCTCCCAGCGATGCACGAGTCAAACTCTCCGAAAACCCTCAAACTGTGCCGAAACTTGATAATGTTAAAATTGATAACGTAAGCAAGGCTTATGAAGACACCATAGTGATAGAAATGGAAGCTGATCTAATACAACAGCAAAGATGGATACAAGGTGACGAGGAGCGCCTGTTACCAATATCAAAGCCACAAAGCAAAGTTATAACCCACAGAAGAGAACCAGAGGAAGAAAACGACGGAGGTTGGATTGTCGTGACCAGAAAGAAAGGAAAATCATTGCCTTGGAAGAGGACAGAAGAAAGTAAAGAAAAGCACGCGACAAGGGCTAACAGCAACGAATCTCAAAAGAAAGGGAAAAAGAAAAAGAAAACAAACGAAGAAAAAATTTTTATCACTGAGGACATTTCTTCTTTAACAGAGAAGCTAAAAATGACTGAAATGCTGTCAACTGAGGATGCGATGCACGTTAAAAGCATTTGGAACTTATCACCGCTGGATCGACTTCGAATGTACCTCTTCTGGGTTGAGAGCTACCGCGAACGTTACAGAGTAGAAATTTATCGAGGCGAACAGGAGTACGAAAAGCTTTGCGAAGAGCAAGAGGCCATTAGGTTTGAAGAAGAGGAAAGGGTCTTACGGCAAGCGACTGTAGTTGGAATGACAACCAGTGGTGCAGCTAGATATCATTCCGTGCTTCAGAGGATAGCACCCAAGATAGTAGTGATTGAAGAGGCTGCTGAAGTGATGGAAGCTCATATTATCACATCCCTCTCTAAAAACACTAAGCACGCGATTCTCATCGGAGACCACAAACAGCTTCGACCAAAAGCAACAGTGTATGAGTTAGCCCAGAAGTACAACCTGGAGGTCTCACTGTTTGAACGAATGGTAATGAACAGCATGGATTGTAAACGTCTATCTATACAGCATCGCATGCGTCCTGAGATTGCTGCCCTAACAAAGCGAATCTACGATCACGAAATAACAGACCATGAATCAGTTTGCCATTTTCCAGACATATCTGGCGTTTCCCAAAATCTCTTCTTTATTGATCACAATCAAATGGAGAATCGGACAGAATTTCTGCAGAGCTATTCTAACGATCACGAAGCTGATTTCGTAGTAGCCCTTTGTAGCTACCTTTTACTTCAAGGATACGAAGGCAACCAGATCACAGTATTAACCATGTACACCGGACAGTTGTTAAATCTTCAAGAAAAGATGCCGAGACGAAAGTTCGATGGAGTGAAGGTTTGCGCAGTTGACAACTTCCAAGGGGAAGAAAACGACATCATTCTTCTGTCGCTAGTGAGAAGCAATGAAGAAGGTCGGATTGGTTTCCTAGGTGAGTCCAACAGAATATGCGTCGCATTATCACGGGCACGCAAAGGATTTTATTGTATTGGAAACTTTAATCTACTGAATAACCATTCAAAGCTGTGGAAAGAAATATGCGATGATCTAAGAACGAAACAAGCCATTGGTGAAAATTTACATCTGATTTGCAAGAGACACAAGGCAACTACTAGCGTCAGGTGGGCAAGTGACATAACCCTCTGCTATCTTGGAGGATGCACTATGCCCTGTGGAGATCGCCTAGACTGCGGCCACGCTTGTGACAAGCTGTGCCATGCTTCAGACGAATATCACATGACGGGTTTCTGTTCCAAATTGTGCGTCAACGCGTGTCCCAAGAATCATAGATGCCAAAGTCGGTGTCATTACCCAGATGAGTGCCCCAAATGCAAAGTTATTGTGCTCAAGACACCCGCCTGTGGTCATGAACAGCCTGTTGAATGTGGAAGCGATCCCGATGAAGTCGAGTGTCAGTTTGAATGCGAGGAGATACTTGAATGTGGACACGGATGTCAGAACCCATGTGGTTCTTCATGTACCGAAGAATGTAAAGTTTCCTGCAAGAAAATTCTCCCATGTGGACACGAAAAAAGTATGTTTTGTTACAGGGATCCCAAATTTTTTCAGTGTAACAGCAAGTGTACTAAACTTCTGGAATGTGGTCACCCTTGCTCACAGAAATGTAAAGAAACTTGTCAATGCAGCACCGAAATTGAAAAAGAATTACCTTGCACGCACAGAATAAGGGTTCTGTGCCGAGAAAAAGACTTCGAAGTAACATGCAAGCAAAAATGCATTCGAACATTAGAATGTGGGCATAGTTGTCCCGGAATCTGCTTTGAAGATTGCCGATTGAAAAAATGTGACATAAATATTTCCAAGAACCTACCGTGTGGCCATCAAGAAAGTGCTCGTTGCTGCCAAGACCCTAAAACGGTCTTTTGTTACGCTCCCTGTCAACGGCCTCTGGACTGCGGACACAAGTGCCCATCAATTTGTGGCGTATTTTGTTATGAGGTTCAATGTAAAGAATTGTGTCAAAAGAAGTGTGAAAGAGGTCATTCGTGCCAGAAGCCCTGCCATTTTCCTTTACCGTGTAATTGTACAGAAGTAGTTAATAGCTCGATCCCCACTTGTGGACACAGTGTTAACACGCCCTGCTATGTTGATCCACAAACTCTGAAATGTGAAAGGTCATGTGAGAGACTCAGATTGTGTGGACACCCTTGTGAAGATATATGTAGTAATAACTGCGAAACTAGGCCTTGCAACGTACCTGTAAGTAGAACCCTACCATGCAATCACATAGTGGTTTTACCTTGTCAGAAGAACATCGAAGAGTACATTTGCAAGAAAGAAGTAGAGGCATGTTTGCCATGTGGACATAAGACGAGTTTGGAATGCCGTATCTTAAGGGCTGGGTTGGAGCATGTCTCTTGCAAGAAAAAGGTGGAGAAAGAATTGGGATGCAAACATAAAATCACTCTTCCATGCTTCAAAAATCCTGAAGAGTGCATCTGCCGAAAGAAAGTTGACGTTGAGCTTTCATGTGGACACACCAAGACAGTTCCATGTCACACTGTGACTGCAGGATTAGAAAGTGTGCGTTGCAATGTTAAAGTATCACGGATGTTGCCTTGCAATCACGAAGTGACCCTTTCATGCCATATTAAACCCGAGGAGTATCGCTGTCAGGAGGAGATCGAAATCACGCTCTCTTGTGGACACCATAACCTTACGAAATGTGCCGATTCGCGGGATGAACGGCAAAGAGAAAAATGTAACACAAAGGTGACCAAAACACTTCCTTGCGGTCATGAAAAGCAGGTGAAATGCTCAGACAAACCTGAAGAGGTATGGTGTGATGCTCCTTGTAAACGCTCTCTACTATGTGAACATCCTTGTCCTAAAAAATGTGGTCAGCAATGCTCTGGTGTCAAATGTGCTGTTAACGTCAGAAAGACTTTGAGCTGTGGATACCACGAGATTAGCTGTCCTTGTTCTAAGGATGTATCGCAGCATATTTGTTCAAAATCGTGTGTACGAAACTTGACTTGTGGTCATCAATGTCCTGGTAAATGCTCTGAAGAATGCAACCAGTACGAGTATAAGTGCCGGACTATAGTGATCAAGACTCTCAATTGTGCAGGAAAACACTCCCTTGAAATGCTTTGCAAGGACGACCCATCCACAAGAAAATGCAAAGAACGTTGCAAACGGAATCTGAACTGTGGTCATCCGTGTCCAGGGCTTTGTAGTCAACCGTGTGGAAGTATAAAGTGTACGCGACAAGTAGAGAAGACACATCCCTGTGGCCACAAGGAGGATTTAAAATGCTTTCAAAGGAAAAATGCAATCTGTAAGGTACCTTGTCAGCGCCGAATGAAATGTAAACACAAGTGTAGAGGTCGCTGTGGTGAGCCTTGCTCGAAATATCCTTGCCAAGAAGTTGTAAGTAAAACACTATCGTGTGGTCATAACGTCAAGATGGCTTGTAGCTTGTCTGTTGACGATGCTCAGTGCCCTGTTCCATGTAGACAAAAGCTTCCGTGCGGTCACCAGTGCTCTGGAACATGCGGTGACTGTAAGCAAAAGGGATCACACGAAATGTGCCAAAACCCATGTAACCGTCTTCTGGTTTGTGCACATCGCTGTCGAGCATTGTGCGGTGAGCCTTGCCCACCGTGTACCAGAAATTGCGGTCGACGTTGCCCTCACAAAAAATGCAGCCAGCAATGCCTGGAGCCATGCAATCCATGTGGGAAAACATGCACCTGGATTTGTCCTCATTACACCTGCAAAAATACGTGTGATGAAGAGTGCGACCGTCCTCGATGTGACGCACCCTGCCCGAAGAAGCTCCCTTGTCGCCACCCTTGTATTGGTCTGTGTGGAGAAAACTGTCCCACTGTGTGTGCTACTTGCCAGGCCGAAAATTTCTCTTCGATAATTGGTGGTCAAACGGAAAAAGCAGAATCCAGTAGATTTCTACAGCTTTTTGATTGTGGTCACATAGTGAAGGTCGAAGAGATGGATACGTGGATGTTTCGTGACTGGGGAAGTGATGTTCAACTCATTCATTGCCCCAGATGCTCCACACCGATCACCTTTAGTTATCGATATGGAAACATTATCAAGAGGATACTAAAAAATACTGAAAAAGTTAAGGCACATATACGCCAGCTTGGAAATGAAACTGCCAGAGAGGTCAGGGGCCTTGTGGAAAAGCTACATCGATGTCAATTTGACCTGCAATCGATGACGTTCCCCAAACCCATACTAAACGCGTTTTTTCAGAGAGCTTCAAGGCAACATTACAGGAGGCCAGTCAATTTTCGTGTTCCCCCGATGAACTTTATTTCTTTAATGTACGTTCTTAGAAATCATCTGATTGTTATGCAACAGATACAGACCGGTCAATACAGATTACAACACGCGAAAAAGCCAACGGCAAATTCAGAAGAGTCCGCACCCGTCTTGAAACAACAAATTGACATTATCAAAGATGCCCTGACAGAGATCTCAGAGTACCTAAAGACTCCTGAGTGGGAGTTGAGAACCCTTGACCAAGTGTATGAGCATACAAGGAAGTTTGCGCTATTCGCTTCAATTCTAGAAGCCAAATCCAAGGCAAACAATAATTTCTCTACGAGTGGACAATTTTTCTTGAAAAACGTTCAAGAAAAATTTGATTCGTTTATTCAAGGATCTAATGAAGCCCTAGAAATCGACTGGCTGGAAAGAATCGCAGCTGAGGTGAGGAACGAGGTAAGCCTCCTACCACTACCCAAGGAAGAACCCAAAGACTTTGAGAACTTTCCAGGTTTTAATAGTGACATATGGAGAGTATGTGAACACCGTGAAGTGGTTTTCACCAAGTCACTCTTGCGAAGAGGAGAAAATATTACTGAGGTGCACGGAACATGCAAAGAGTGCGTCGACTTCGCAACAAAACAAGAGAAATGAAGGCGAAGCAAAGTGGAGGGTTTCTTGGTGAACTAACGCCTTCGCCTTCTTGAAGAATGTGATGAACACTATATCTGAAAAAAAATCATTACACTTAAACTGAAAGACCTGAAAAAAAAACAACTCCGGATACCTTAAAACCCGTGTATAAGAACCTAGATTTTTCCAACTTAGCCTAAATAGGTTCTTAATTTGATAGGGGCACTATCAATCAGCACAGAAAACTACTACAGGGCATAGTATGTGATATGGAATATGCTTTGCTGCATTTAATAACTATCTAGAATACAGTTTCAATGTGCTTCCAAAAAAACTGTGACTTTCAAAATGAGAGAGACATATGACGCTGTATTGTTAATACAGTATTTCCTCCAATAATAGCCGCGGGCGATTATTTTTTTCTTCGCATTACAAGGGGGTGATTATTCGAGGGAGGCGATTGTTTTAAATATTGCTCACTGGAAGCCGTGCCCTAAATATTTTGTTTTGTTATGCCATTAAATATTAATCGAATCAAATAAACTGAACATGGGTTTTTCAAGTGTTCCAAATTTGGTTCTTTGATAAATTTACAGAGCTTGAATCATCACTGATCAGTTTTGCTGGATCAGATTCCAGTTCAACTTGACAGGGAGGAGATAAAAGAAAGAGACGATGGCGAGAGGGGTGCGGCGATTATTTCAAATATTTCCTTCAAAGAAGGGCGATTTTTCGAGGGAGGCGATTAAACGAGGGCCGGCTATTATTCGATGAAATACGGTAATCCCATTGCGTAATCCAGTATTGGCAAAGACATGATATGGTTTTTATTTTAGTCCATTCTTTAAATCTTACTGACTCAAAGCTAGACTAAAATTTTTTTTCTGTATTTTCATCTCTGCATTCATTTTTGAAAAGTAAGAACCTATTGAAAACTCTGGGCTAAATAGGTTCTTATGAAAAGGGGGTTTAAAATGAAAATGTTGGCCTGACAGGTTCTTGAATTTTAGTTGTTGAATCTACATTTATTGACAAGATTGATATTTAACACTAACAAAATTTTAGAAACGTTCAGTCCTTGTGGCCATGGGCCTGCTAAACCTCCCTGATGTTAGACACACACTGATAGACATAGGTACCACTCTGTTGTGTATTAGTGGGTATTTAACAATTATTCCTCGAGACCGAATGGGCTGTGAGTCAATAGCCTCAATATTTTCGATATTTTTGACCAACTAGTTGGATTTTACTAAAACAATTATTCCTCTGGCCGTCATGGTCTCTGAGTCAATAGCCCAAGCATGAGGCTGAAGGCCGAATGGGCTAGACTTTAACCCTACCAAAAAGCCCGGGCTTTTCTCTACTAGTGGGCTATAACATATAGCCTAGTAGTAGCTCAACCAATCAGAACGCAGCATTGATAATAGACCACTAGTTAGATTTTACTAAAATGGGTCACCTGGCCGCACCTTACCTATAAATTTAATACACGAGACTGCCCGACGATGCGACCCATCCAGCGGCACATCCCTATTATCCTCTTATAGGGAAGTACCCTCAGGGGTCAATGTATCTGATAGCAGCCAAGAATGACGTGAGCTTTAGTTACAACTGATATGATCACGCTTGTGTTCCACGACTACGAAATTGAGCAAAGCACTCCCTAAGTGATTCCGTAGCTAAAGATAACCCACACGTTAAATGGTTATTGTATTGTAATATTTCAAAACAGTAGGCCACACCTTTCATAACTTAGGGTGTTCAAGCGAAGATAAAGAAAGAAAAATCAATAATTCTTCATTTCTTGTTTCCATTGAAGCTTCAACAGACATGAACAAATTAAAGGACAATGCTCTTGCGGACAAAGTCCGTTTTTTTAATGCGAAACAAGTACGAATTAGCTAGCTTCCCAATCAAAATAGAGAGACGGTGCACAACGTTCAAATTGTCTAGGCCCGTCAACACTCAAAATGTTACGGAAGTGAAAGAGCAGAACTGAACTGACATAATTCTGGCCAGGAGATGGCAAGCACCCTAGCGCGGGTAATCCCTTATAAATGCCATTTGAGAATGTGCCACCCAAAGGGTAAGGTTTCTGGGCCTACACGGATATACACTTCGCCCATTTTGGTACCAAATCGGGTATGGTTTCCGAAAGTACGAAAGCGTATGAACCTCATGTTATCGATTCGATTCCAAATGAATAAGAATGAAATAGAAATATGCGAATTCGAAATGCATTTGAAGAATTATTTTCTTTGCGCTCTAATTCAAGAAATGATGACATAATTTCTGCCTAAAGGCGTGGTCTGAAAACGGGTATGGATTTTAGAGGTCTGGTCTGAAAACGAGTGTGGAAAATGACATTTTATGGTCTGAAATGGTCGGTAAGGATTTGGAGGACCAGGCGGCACACCCCCACCAAGAATTCCCAGGAGTTCCCCCCCACCACCCCCCGCACAGGTCACAATGGTAAGCCATGTGGAAATAATGGAAGCGATTTCAAATGTTGTTCAATCAGCCCTGACGTTAATTTCAATACCGTAAATCCTCTATTAAGCTCCCCGGGGGGCTTATTTATTTCAAGCCCATATGAAGCGCGGGGGTCTTAATGGAGAAGGGGGACTTATTTAATTAAGAAACAACGATGGTATCAATTTTCCATAAAGAACTAGAATACAAAGTGGAAAAGCTCAAGTACAAGAAGTTTAGGTCGTGCCGCCGAGGATCAGAATCAAACCCAATATTCTAGTTGGTAAGTAAACCATCCTGGATCAGTCCGCACGAAGCTTTACAGTCGTGATTGATTAATGCAGTCCATCATTTATTAGTGAAGAATAAATAGGGGAGGGGGGGGCTTATTAACTTTCTTCCCCTGAAAAGGGGGGGCTTACTGTGAGAGGGGGGGCTTAATAGAGGATTCACGGTACGTGTATTCGCGTTCGCATCTCTTCTCCTTCCCCAGCCACGACCTCTTCTTCTGCCATAATTTTCCCTACGATCCATGGATCAAGATCATTCAAGGCAAACCTGTACTGTACCTAACTATGTTTTCATTATGGCGACAATATAAGTTTGTTTTGCAGTAAAAGCTCAGAGAAAAACAGAGCCACTAGTTATCCTTTAAAAAGAATTCCACGAGCTGTAAAATGTCCGCCATGTTTTGCCTGTTTCTCGGAATTTCAGGAAGTGCTTCTGAGAATCAAGTTTTGATGCATGATTGGCCGATACGATTATAGCTAGTTGTCAGTTTGAAGCCCTAGCGAAGGGGAAGAACGGATAGGACCATTCTCAAATGGTTTATGGAAATGTAAAAACAATAAGCAAAATCATTTGGACGCCTTTTTATAGCGCATACGGTACTTGCATCGTAAGACTGGTTTCAACATTATCTATCGCTGGTTCCTTAAATACTGGCAAGTAAACGTTGGATGTCACAAAACTGACGCTTGCCTGCGACATGCGTTGGACTTAGATTCCGTCATCTATAATTCCGCTGTCCAATTACAATTTTCCCTCATTGGTTTGAATGTCAACATTTGCTTTGAATCAGCAGTTTTGGGGATAGTTTCTCGGAATATAACTGGATATTTCAATCGCCATTGCGATTTTAAGGAAGCATTTTCACATTATTTGATCAGCAAGAATTGGACTGTGGCGGAAAGGAAAACTGAGGCCTACTGGCTTCCTCAAGAGTCGTTCCTTGGCGGCTAGTACAGGTATGAAATACCCTTTATTCAGTATATTTCCTTTGCGTTTGCCTTAAGAGGATGAGTACAAATCAGGAATGAACAACAGGTACACGTATGTCGGAAAGACATCAGCTTCCCATTTTGCTTCACTGAAATGATCGGACTGATCGGCTTCGCCTTACTTTTGATTTTGTTTTCCAGCATCCTCGTTTAAATACTGCCGGCGTTTAGGACTGATGTGCTTGTCTTTCTGCATTTTAAAATCGATTAATAACCTTAAAATTGATTCTATCGAGTCTTTTATTCCACAGTGACGAGAATTTCCTTTGTTTTGAAAAGGTATTCTTAATAATCTATTATACAGCCTTTGTGCAGAACACTCGATGAGCTCAAGAAATATTACGCACAAGGTTACATGTGGTAAAATTATGTTGTGTCGCGTATTTAGAGCCTTTTCCTTGAACATCACTACGCAGATGCCTTTTCTCTATTGTTTTTCTCTCGCTTGTCTTCACAAATCTGTTTTGTTGCTTTATATTTTAACATGTCGCCACTGCTTTGTTCTACTTTAACTGGACCCCGACTGGGCCATAGGGAAGCAAAGTATATTAATCTGGGGTACTGTGTAAACTTATAAGATCTTCCTCGGGTTATTCTGCATCACTACTATCCATAGCAGTCGACATAAACAAGTTCAGCAACAGAACAAATTAAGAAATATTCAGTATTATAATATTCGCTCCATGGTTTAGTGAGTGTGTGACTGAATCATTTCATAGTCGATCATGCCATGAAAAGCTATGTGGAGACTGCCATGAATTACTTGCCCTTTGGAGGGAGCAGCTTCTCAATTTTCACTGCCAAATAAGGTCAAATACAACTATAACATACCACCATCATGCACGCTCTGTTCGCGTGCAGAACTGAACTTTTGACTGCAAACTGCTTCGTTCTTTGACACTGTAATTTATTCAGCAAACTTGATGTACTTATCTGTCATGTTGTATTTTAAATGACATTTACTTCTGTTTTGTTTTTAGCCTACAGTTTATTGGATCTTATTTTATGGGAGGCCATATCATTCAAAAGTGGTACGAATGCTCGATTGATGATCAAAATCACGATCGCTATCGGATTGAGTTCTTCGATCGGTCGTCGAGAATGAAGATATTTATGGTTGAGATTATCGATTGATTGATTAATGAGAACCACGATCGCCATTATCAAAACAGGGTTTTTATACTCGAAACACAATCGCTGTGGTCGAAAGAAAGATCGGTAATGAGCTCTGAAGATCTAAAGGACTGAAAAGAAGAGGCGTCGATTGGGGATGCAGAATGTCAAATGCAACGATTGAAGTTATCGATTTTCGCGAATAACTCAATCAAAGCGATCGTGATCTTGATCATAAATCGAGCATTCGTACGACTTTTGAATGATATGGCCTCCCATATTATTTGATACATACACAATTGGTGATTCTGGTATTTTAAGCAGTCTGATTGGTTTAATTTGCAATTGGTTAACCTTCCCACACAAAGTTTTGATTTTTGGTTTTCCAATTCATTTGTATAGTTAATATTATCGCTGATGTAACATTCACAATCTTTTTCAAGGCTAAGCGGTACGATATACTGCTATAAGCATGCAAGTAAACGAGAAAAGAAAAATCTCCTGGCAGAAGCAGAAAGGCTCTTGGGTAGGGAGGGAGAAGCGTTGCGTGACGACACTAAAAACGGTTGTGTAGCAGTGTAGGGTTTACAAATGTAGCAGGAAACTCCAATTTTTCCACTAAGTTAGCGATTTCATGCAAAGGGCTCCAAATTTCCTCTCGGATGGACGAGTAATTTAGAACTCTGATGATTCCTTTTGTACTACTGTCTGTCATTTCAGCCGCAGATGCTGTGTAGTTATTCCCCAAGAGCAGAGGAGAGGATCAACCCACTGAGTGTAAAGTTTATTCAGCTAATTTCTTACTCTACGGATAAACGTTTGTCGATACAGCACAATGGCTTCCAACAAAGGCAAAGGGAAAAAGTCTTTCAATAAACGCAATAGGGATTCTAATGGTAGGTGATAGGTTATCATATCAGCTATCATATATAGTGCTTATACAAACCAGGGGGACAGCGTGAGATTTGAAAGTTGTACGCAAGCGGAGGAGAAGAGAAGTTCTAGCGACGAAGGCGGCCTAACCTAGGGGTGACTAGGGCATGCTCCCCCCGAAAATGTTTCAATTTAAGGTCTCAGAAATACCCTTCCAGCGGTTTTCTAGAGACATTTTCAGTAAATTAATAAGCAGGAAAATGCAGTAGTTAGTTGTTTGTTTTACCCATCTCTCATGTTCTTGGTAAGGTACAGTGTTTAAAGAAAAAAAAGGCCAGTGACCTCATCAGAATTATGGAATAATAAACAGTAAAAGAGATACCGTATTCCCTCGAATAATAGCCGTCCCTCCACTAATCGCCTCCCTCGAATAATCGAACCTCCCCCCCCCCCCCACAAATGTCCAGTGCTGGCCACAAGATCCCTACTTTCCTTTTTCATCCTTAGTTCTACACTTCCCAGAGGTGTGGAAGTGTGGAAAAGTCTGACAAAGTAAGGATATTGTCGCACTTTCCCCCAGTCATGAACCCTTTGTCATTCTTTACTTAGTTCCACACTTCCCAGAGGTGTGGAAGTGTGGAAAAGTCTGACAAAGTAAGGATATTGTCTCACTTTCCCCCAGTCATGAACCCTTTGTCATTCTTTACTTAGTTCCACACTTCTCAGAGGTGTGGAAGTGTGGAAAAGTCTGACAAAGTAAGGATATTGTCTCACTTTCCCCCAGTCATGAACCCTTTGTCATTCTTTACTTAGTTCTACACTTCCCAGAGGTGTGGAAGTGTGGAAAAGTCTGACAAAGTAAGGATATTGTCTCACTTTCCCCCAGTCATGAACCCTTTGTCATTCTTTACTTAGTTCTTCACTTCTCAGAGGTGTGGAAGTGTGGAAAAGTCTGACAAAGTAAGGATATTGTCTCACTTTCCCCCAGTCATGAACCCTTTGTCATTCTTTACTTAGTTCTACACTTCCCCGAGGTGTGGAAGTGTGGAAAAGTCTGACAAAGTAAGGATATTGTCTCACTTTCCCCCAGTCATGAACCCTTTGTCATTCTTTACTTAGTTCTACACTTCTCAGAGGTGTGGAAGTGTGGAAAAGTCTGACAAAGTAAGGATAATGTCACACTTTTCCCCAGTCATGAACCCTTTGTCATTCTTTACTTAGTTCCACACTTCTCAGAGGTGTGGAAGTGTGGAAAAGTCTGACAAAGTAAGGATATTGTCGCACTTTCCCCCAGTCATGAACCCTTTGTCATTCTTTACTTAGTTCCACACTTCTCAGAGGTGTGGAAGTGTGGAAAAGTCCGACAAAGTAAGGATAATGTCACACTTTTCCCCAGTCATGAACCCTTTGTCATTCTTTACTTAGTTCCACACTTCTCAGAGGTGTGGAAGTGTGGAAAAGTCTGACAAAGTAAGGATATTGCCGCACTTTTCCCCCTGTTAAGAACCCCTTGTCATTCTTTACTTAGTTCTACATTTCGCAGAGGTGTGGAAGTGTGGAAAAGTCTGACAAAGTCAGGATAATGTAACACTTTTCCCCTGGTCATACGAAACCACTGTCATTCTTTACTTAGTTCTACACTTCGCAGAGGTGTGGAAGTGTGGAAAAGTCTGACAAAGTAAGGATATTGTCGCACTTTTCCCCCTGTTAAGAACCCCTTGTCATTCTTTACTTAGTTCTACACTTCTCAGAGGTGTAGAAGTGTGGAAAAGTCTGACAAAGTAAGGATAATGTCACACTTTCCACTGGTCATACGAAACCACTGTCATTCTTTACTTAGTTCTACACTTCTCAGAGGTGTGGAAGTGTGGAAAAGTCTGACAAAGTAAGGATATTGTCGCACTTTTCCCCCTGTTAAGAACCCCTTGTCATTCTTTACTTAGTTCTACACTTCTCAGAGGTGTAGAAGTGTGGAAAAGTCTGACAAAGTCAGGATAATGTCACACTTTCCACTGGTCATACGAAACCACTGTCATTCTTTACTTAGTTCTACACTTCTCAGAGGTGTGGAAGTATGAAATAGTCTGACAGAGTCAGGATATTGTCGCACTTTCCCCCCAGTCACGAATCCCTTGGCATTCTTTCCTTAGTTACACTCCTATGTATGAAATGAGAATAAAGCGCAGTGGGAGTATTTGTTGGTTTTATTCCTGCAACTCGTTTTACATCTTTTTAAATGCTATTTTAAGTTTAGACAACAATTCTATGACTAGAAGATATTAGCCTTGTTTCACTGCCATCTGTTTGAATACCCGACTATAAAACAAGCCTACGTTTTCTCTGTCACGAAGTCCCCGTCAGTCTTTTACCTTCGTTTATTTATTTATTTATTTTTCAAGGGAAACCTCAACAACGTCATCTCATCCATGGATTTTTATGTTTGAAATTTTTCATCTTAATGTGCCATATATGAGACGTCTTATTCTGGGTTTTTCTCCTTCCTATAGATCTATTCGGCTGACTCAATGTCGTACCCAATTCAAACCTTTTGGGTATAAAACGTTTTGGTTTAGGAATTTCCATATCATTTAAATGTGAATGCCACATTATAACGCAAATACAATACACAAAGAACCTTAACCCCGGGAGCTTTTAATTGGGTACAACAGTCAGGTCTCTTAAGATCGTGACAACGCTAAAAATAGGCAGTAAAGAATGCAGAGTATGTGCGTTCTATCTTCCTCGCTTTAAGATCAACTTGATAAAGTTTATAAATGTTCAAATCAATTCTTGTTGTTCTATTCCTTCATCACGTTCATGACCTAAATTGATCTAAAAATATACAGCATTCTGTATAAAGTAATAATTGTGACTTATCGGCCTAGAGTAGCTACCTGCAGATCTCTCTGCGGAAGAGGGGGATCACTGTTTACTTGCGTGTTATAGGGTTGGCAATATTTATGTTATCTCTGCGGCACGTGACAATACTAAAATATTTGCATGGTCCACCCTCCTCTTCGTCTTTAGAGAGTCACCCTTAGGTGAATTCTTTTTCGATGTTTCTTGGCCTCGAGCCGCTCGCCTCCGAGCGTGGTGTTGCTTCTTTTTCATAATTTATGTCCAGCATTTACATAACCTTAGAGAAGAGGAAAAACTGCGAAACAGTGGATATATGGCGTGATCTAACAATTATCAAATTTGAACCCGTACTGATAAGGATGAAAGCTTGGTTGGAGATCGGATTTCTTAACTTGAAGTTTCTTTCAACAGCTGGCATTGAAACAATGGTTATATCTGCTATTCAAAATAAAATAGTTCAAAATAAATAGTTCTAAAGAAAAAATGTAAAAAACCATACAGAAATAAAACCAAGTGCTCATAAAGCGCACTGAGCTTCTCGTGACTCAGGGAAAGTGCAACATTAAACTCAACTTGTCACACTATTCTACCCTTCCACACCTCCGAGAAGTGTGGAACTAAGTAAAGAATGACAAGGGGTTCTTAACAGGGAGAAAAGTGCGACAATATCCTTACTTTGTCAGACTATTCCACAGTTCCAGACCTCTGAGAAGTGTGGAACAAGGTGAAGAATGACAAGGGGTTCATGACTGGGGGAAAAGCGCGGCAGTATCCTTAGTTTGTCACACTATTCCACACTTCCACACCTCTGGGAAGTGTAGAACTAAGTAAAGAATGACAAGGGGTTCTTAACAGGGGGAAAAGTGCGACAATATCCTTACTTTGTCAGACTTTTCCACACTTCCACACCTCTGAGAAGTGTAGAACTAAGTAAAGAATGACAAGGGGTTCTTAACAGGGGGAAAAGTGCGACAATATCCTTACTTTGTCAGACTTTTCCACACTTCCACACCTCTGGGAAGTGTAGAACTAAGTAAAGAATGACAAAGGGTTCATGACTGGGGGAAAGTGAGACAATATCCTTACTTTGTCAGACTTTTCCACACTTCCACACCTCTGGGAAGTGTGGAACTAAGTAAAGAATGACAAAGGGTTCATGACTGGGGGAAAGTGAGACAATATCCTTACTTTGTCAGACTTTTCCACACTTCCACACCTCTGAGAAGTGTGGAACTAAGTAAAGAATGACAAAGGGTTCATGACTGGGGGAAAGTGAGACAATATCCTTACTTTGTCGGACTTTTCCACTCTTCCACACCTCTGAGAAGTGTGGAACTAAGTAAGAAGTGAAGAAACTCTGGATTTCATGGCCAGGGCTGGACATGGCTCCACCCCCCACCCCTCTCTCCATCTTCTCTTTCTTTTAAAACCCTCTCCCTGTCAAGTTGAAGGGGAATCAGATCCAGCAAAACTGATCAGTGGTGATTCAAGCTCTGTAAATTTATCAAAGAACCAAATTTGGAACACTTGAAAGCTCATGTTCAGTTTATTCGATGTGATGATTTTTTTATTTAATGGGATAATAAAACAAAATATTTAGGGCACGGCTTTTAATGAGAAATATTTGAAATAATCGCCAACTATTATTCGAAGAAATACGGTACTAACACAAAGAGGCCAATACAGTGCGAAAAATGTATCAGTAATCCCGATTTAATGATAAAAAAAGGATTTTTAAACAGGCGTATGTGCGTATATGGACGCTACGCTCCTCCAAACTTGCAGGACCGTTCTACGCTGCAACGTTACTGTGTCGCACTGTGTGTGAAAAGTAAAGTGTTCGTCATTCAATTTAAAAAATGTGTTAATTCATTTTAGGATGACCTATTTAAAGGATTGATAAAGTAGATACATGAATAGAAAGTGACAAATTGGGATCGCGAAAATTACTTTTGATTAAGATGGGGTCTATAATTAGCTATACAATAGACCATAATGGGGTATGGGCTCTGAGAGGCCAGCGGCACAAACTGACAGCAAGGGGAGAAATCACTGTACTGTGGATAAGTATCGGGGAAACCAATTGCCTCATTCACTGGGCAGAGATCATGGATAGCACTGACGACAAAGGCCAGTTCAAAAGCCGTACATGGCCCGCATCGACCGCCAGGACTTTCTTCTTTACAGACTAGGGAGCTAGTCCTGGTGTCAGTAGGCCTTTTTGAGAGCATAAAACAGTTGTACAAACTGTAATCCACTGTTGTCCTTTATGTACCAAATTATCTAACAGGGATGGTCATTCTGAAATCATGTTTCGCGATATATGTTTAAAATGCATTTTAGAAACCGACGAGCCACGGGAACAAGCCCAAGAAGGAAACGAAAACCCAGCAACAATTCAAGGCGCCTGCGGGACTTCTGCAAATGCAAACCGAGGTAACTGATGTAACACACCTTAAACAAAACATGGGTTCAAAAGGAAGAGACCGGCATCAGGGCCAAACTTTAAAACAGTGTGGATTGTTTGGATTCAAGAGACTTAATATCCATAACCCGTCTTGCTGGATTTTGGGTGTAACTAAAATCTGCTATTTGTTTAGAGGTTCTGTAAAAGTAACAATTACTGAACTCGGCTTTCGTATCATCTGAAGAATTATGGAGATCGAGGAGGGTGTTTCCACCTCAGCGGTTTTATTATTCATCCAAAATAATTCCTAGTTTAAAAACAGGCTAAAACATGCTTGTAAACCTCTATCGATGTTAAGTTCATCTTCGATAGTACATGTTTATCGGCACGTTTAGGAGACTAGGGTTGTTCAGTGCTGCAAATATTCTACAAATAGGAGAGATTGTCTTCTAGCTGTTTATGCTGTGTTCTTAGCCAAACGTTCGCCTATTTCTCCATTGTGAAACGAGTAAAATATTCCGCCATTTTGTATCACTACCAAAATAACTGAACCTCGTCCCCAGATTTTCTCGGTTAACGGTTCAATAATTTGGCAATTTTTGCTGCACCATTGACGTCATCGGTTCAATATCGCAAAATTCTTTCAAATTTGGTCAACGGTAGCTGGTTATGATGAACATGCGTATAATTTAAGCCAATCAGAATCAGAGAAATATTTTGGATGAATAATAACAGCGGTTATCGCATCTTAGAGCTGCTCTCTCTAGACTTAAATGCTTGAGGTTTTACCTCGGAGTTAATAACATACCGAGAAAACCTAGGCCACTTTTTTGACGATGACAGTGAATAGCGGCGCTGTAACTTTTGAATAGAAATTCTAGAGTTGGCGACATTTGCCAGCCATTGGTCTTCATATACCAGTGAAAGACGTTTATAGAGTTCGATAGGAATTATGTGCGAGTACCTATGCAGAAGCTCGTGTTTCTCGGGGTTACCGATATGCAGAGTGTCCTTCAGAAGAGCAGAACATAACGGGTATTTCCAACTCAAGCACTAACATTTAGTTCTCAAATCCCGCCCCGTGATATTCGCCATTTTTTTTCGCTTTAGTGTGTATTGAGTTTCTCTTTCTTTTATTCAGAAGTTGACCATCTCAACAAACAAGGTAACAAAGGACGCGGGCGAGGAGCACCGTTGAGGCGTGGAAAGGAACGGGTGACGCCATCAAAAGGAAGAGGAAAGCATTCAGGTGGGAGAAAATATAAACTACCCGTTCCTGCTTGGAACAATCTCCTCATACGACTTTTGATTGTTTCTAACATCTGAAATTCACTAATTATAAGCGTCGCACTTTTTGTGGATTAAGTATGCCAAGCAAAACAGTGAGTCCATAGGATTAGCCTGCAATGTTCAGGAAGTCCATTGAATCTCCATAAGTCAGGTCAATATATTCATTATTTTGTCGTTCTATTGTGTTGAGTTTATTGTGTTATTGTTTAAGGGCTAGAGATCATTGTTGTGTTCTTTGCGAAGTAACTCGAGACTTGCTATTCACTTGGTATATGGTGCACCAGCCATAAGTCAGTTTTCCGAGATAGGAGTCTCTAGACTTACGCTGAAAAGAGCATTAACGTAAGAAGCAACCAGCAATACCATTCAACAGGAAAACAGCTTGTATTTGTTATCTTATGTCTGCGCATTCTTTTAATGCACTTAGTTAATACCTCCGTCCAGTGTAACAAGCCAGGACCCGGGGAAGGGGGGGGGGGAAGGGGGGCGGGGGAAGGGGGGCGGGGGGGGGTTACGTGGGTTAGTTTTTGCTAGATATGTGCCGCTGACCTCTCAGAGACCCTACCCCGTCATAGTCTATTCTGTGGCCAATTATAGACCCCGTCTTAGTCACTTTTAGGCAAATATGTAATTTTCGCGATCCCAACTTATTCACTTTCTACGTAGGTATCTATCTTATCAATCCGTTAAATAGGTTATCGTAAAACATGAATTGGCCCCTTTTTCACGTACAGTACAAACATTCTGGTACACGTTTGCTAACCGTAAATATGAAGAACTCTCTAACCCCCAAAAGATCCGAAAATGTGCGACCCATTCTAGTAACTCTGTTGATAATGGGACCCCATTATATTCAATCCAGGCGTGAAAATGCGACCCCATCAAGCGGCACATCCCCATTAGCCTCTTAAAAGGAAGTTCCCCCCCCCCCCACCCGGGGGTCCAGGACCTAGCAAACTGTTTTGTACAAGTCTCTTTGATTCTATGGAAGAAGGTTGGGTACACTTTGCTTGTGAGTCACTCAAGAAATAATTGCGTTTTTTAACACAGATAAAACAAACCAAGCTCAAAGACCTGGAAGGCCAGGTCTCGTGAACAAAAATCCTGGCTCATCGGCACAACAGAATCGACGGCCCTCCGCACGTGAATTGTTGTCAGGAAAACACGTCTTCCTCGACCCCAAAGCTTTAAAATCAAAGGATAGTACAGAGATAGTCCACACGCTGAACGAGGGCATGCCTCGTTTAAAGTTTCTTCTTCGATCACAAGATCAGCAGCACAACAGCGACGAATTCATCTGTGACCTTACTTCTACTTTGGGAAAGGCCTGCAGAGTTCCACCAGGTGAAAATATTAACAAGATTCTAGCCACACTTAAAGGCTCCGCTTTCTTTTATTCAAAAATTCCCAGTTTACTTGATCGCCTTCAAGAGTCAGCGGCCTTAAATGACCAGGTATCTCAACAACAGTTCATTGAGCATCTCATTGAAATCTTCATGAAGTACCTGACACATTTGCCAAGTTCATATGCTGACCTACCCTACACTCAACTGAAAGCAGCCTTAGACCAGTCAGGTGTTGACAAGAAAGAAGAGCTACGGGCAAAGTTAGATGAATTCAAGCAAGCCAGAAATGACGTCATCAGAAGGGAAAGACAAAGGCAGGGGAAACGCTTTGTTAACAGGGCAGGGGAAAAGCCACCAAACGACTTTAGAGACATGCCAATTTGTCCCGAGACCAAAGAAATCACAACTCAAGAAAGACCATTTTTACGTGAGAACATTTCAAAGGGTAGGTACAACAACGCCGAACACTACCTTGATGTTCAGTTTCGGCTTCTTCGAGAAGACTTTCTTGAGCCACTGAAAGAAGGTATTAGTGAAATTGTCCTCAATATACCAAGACATCAGCGCAAACAATTGATGAAAAACTACCGCAGCGTACAAATTGTCGGCAAGGAGTTCACGTGGTCTGGGATCACTCATCAAGTCCAAATCGATGTTTCTGGCTTAGATACCAGCAGGTGGGCACATTCCAAAAGACTCTTATATGGTTCATTCCTATGTCTTTCAAAAGACAACTTTAAAACGATGCTTTTCGCGACGGTTTGTGATCGCGATCCAAAGAAAGTGAAGAAGGGACGAATTAACGTCCGATTTATCGAAAATCAAGATGTTTTTGGGATCGAGAGACGCAACTGCGTTTACCAAATGGTGGAGTCCCCCGCCTATTTCGAAGCCTATCGCTACGTTCTTAAAGGGTTACAGGAATTAGACGAAACAACCTTGCCATTTCAAAAGTATCTGGTCGAGTGCAGTGGAGAAGTTGACCCACCAGAATATCTAAGGCGCGATGAGAGTGAGGAGCCAGTTTATTATGACCTTGGCGAGGCCCTTCAGATGCTGTATTTACCAAACACCACATCAACTGTACCTGTTCTGAGGCCTGAAGCTTGGCCCTCCGTTGAAGGACTTCCTCTCAACAAATCGCAACTCGAAGCGTTAAAGACAGCAATTACAACCGAATTTTCTGTTATCCAGGGTCCACCAGGGACAGGAAAAACTTACGTTGGTGCCAAAATTGTGCGTTGCTTGCTCGATAACAGACGTGCTTGGGATCCTCATCAGACATCACCAATGCTGATGGTTTGTTACACAAACCATGCGCTTGATCAGTTCTTGGAAAAGGTGCTGGAATTTTTACCTAGCCGAAAAATAATTCGTGTCGGAGGAAGGTCCAAGAGCGATAAACTTCAGAACTGCAACCTGAAAAAGTTTACTTACAGATACAGACTGAACGACAGACGTGAAGAAGTGAGGGAGAGGTTGCGACAAAACGACAAAGAAATGAAAATGTTAAAGCGACAGCTTGCAAAGGCTGACCACAAACTTTTAGATTTCGAGGACGTGGAACAACTAATCAATCCGGCACATTTACAGCAGCTGTGTAACGCTAAATTTCCATCCAAGGTGGCTAACGAGAGTCGCACTCCGAGCAACACTTTCAAGTTGTGGCTATGCAACAACAAAGAGATCGCTTGCAATCAAAAGGCAGAGGCACCAACCCATGAAAACTGTGTTGAAAGTGAAGAAAAGGAATTGTTTTATGACCCAACTATATTCACAGAACCACAAGATGAAAGTGAAACATCCCTTGGAGAACCTTTAGCAGCAGTTAATGTAACGGCATTTGACGTAGCTAAACCCGATTTTCAGCAGGCGATGAAATTCTCAGAACCATTAGCAGCGGTTAATGTATCAAACGAAGTAGCTAAAGCCGATCTTCAGCAGAAGATTAGCATCTCAGAGCAAAGAGAGGTAAACAAAAACTTGTATGAGGGTGAATTACTGAGTGATTTGTCAGAAGAACAAAGAAGTACCTTCCTGAGTGAACAGATGGAAATCAGGGCTTATCAAGACGTTTCTCAATTAAACAACAGTTGTTTGGAACAAACGGCCTCAAAAGAAGGTGTTGATTTCATTCAAGGGACTGAAAACCTTGAAGTAGAGGGCAAACCTAGTGATGGAAATGCTGATGAAAAACGAGAGGCGGATGAAGAAACTATTGCAATAGAGAGGGAAGCGGATTTGATACAGCAACAAAGATGGATAGAGGGTGATGAAGATCTTCTGCTACCTATATCAAAAGAAACATGTGGCTTAATGAGTGAAGAACAACAAAAACGAGGGACAAATAAGGCAAATGACGAAGACGAATGGACACTTGTCACGCATAAGAAAAAAGGCCAGTCACATTTCTGGATGCCAAATGACGCAGATAATTCTAAAGAGGACGGCAAATTGGATGAGGAAAAGGGAGGAACAACGTCTTCAAAGAGAAAGGAAAAAGGCCAGTCACATTTTTGGACGCTAAACGACGGGGAAAATTTTGCAGAGGACGGCAAAGTAAATGACGAGGAAACAAGGGAAACAATGTCTTTAAAGAAAAACGTTATTACGGAGGATATTAACTCTATACGTAAAGACCTAAGCAAAAGAGAAATGATGTCCACCGAGGAAGCGTTTGGCATTCAAAGCATCTGGGATATGTCACAATCAGATCGACTCCGACTATACCTCTTCTGGATTGAAAACTACCGTGAACACTACAGGGTAGAAATTCACCATGCTGAACGGGCACATGAACAGCTTTGCGAAGAATTAAAGGAAGTCCAATTTGAGGAGGATGGGCAAGTCATCCGTCAGGCGACCGTTGTTGGAATGACAACCAGTGGGGCGGCGAGATATCACTCAGTTCTTCAAAAGATAGCTCCTAAAATCGTTGTTATCGAAGAAGCTGCCGAGGTGATGGAAGCCCATATTATCACTTCTCTTTCGCACAACACCAAACACACAATTCTCATTGGAGATCACAAACAACTCCGCCCCAAAGCGACTGTTTACGAATTGGCCCGGAAGTACAACCTGGAAGTCTCACTCTTTGAGCGAATGGTATTGAACAGCATGGATTGTAAACGCTTATCTATACAGCATCGCATGCGTCCTGAGATTGCCACATTAACAAAAAGAATTTATGATCACGAAATTGTAGATCACGATTCAGTTTGCAATTTCCCGCCAATATCTGGCCTTTGCCACAATCTCTTCTTCATTGATCACTGCCAACCCGAGAAACTAATAGGAGGTTTACAGAGTTACTCTAACAATCACGAGGCTGAGTTCTTAGTGGCCCTTTGCGAGTACCTTCTACGCCAAGGATACCAACGAAACCAGATCACTATTCTAACCATGTATACTGGTCAGTTGCTGCTTCTTCAAGAGAAAATGCCAAGACGAGCTTTCGAAGGAATTAAAGTTTGTTCAGTTGACAACTTTCAAGGTGAAGAAAACGACATCATTCTTTTGTCGCTAGTAAGAAGCAACTCTGAAGGTCGCATTGGCTTTTTAGGCGACTCCAACAGAATATGTGTCGCGTTGTCACGTGCCCGCCAAGGCTTTTACTGCATTGGAAACTTCAATCTACTGACAAGCCAATGCAAGCTTTGGAAGGAGATCTGTGATGATTTAAAGACAAAAGAAGCCATCGGTGAGAATCTACAGTTGATTTGCAAGAGACACAACAATGTAACGAATGTAAGATGGGCACGCCAGTTGAAACAGTGTGAACTTGGAGGATGTACAATGCCATGTAGAGACCGCCTAGAATGTGGCCATGCGTGCGACAAGCTATGTCACGTCTTGTACGTTTACCACGTACTGTGCTACAAAATGTGCTTTAATTCGTGTCCCAATGGTCACAAATGTCATGACATGTGTCATTACCCAAGAGAGTGTCCCAAGTGCTCCGTTCTTGTGCGAAAGACGCCTGCCTGTGGTCACGAACAATCCATAAGGTGCAGCGTTGACCCAGATGACATCTCCTCTGGATTCAAATGCGAGAAGAAGGTCATAAAAATTCTCCCGTGCGGACACAACAATCTTATGAAATGTTACAAAGATCCCATCATTTACAGCGACTGCACCAACAGTTGCACGAAAGTTTTAGACTGCGGCCACACTTGCTCTGAGAGATGTATGCAGGAATGCCAATGTGCCACCATGATAGAAATTCAATTGCCATGTAACCACAGGAAAAAAGTATTGTGCCGAGAAAAAAATAATTCAATCGTGTGTAAAGAAAAGTGCGAACGAGCCTTGAATTGTGCGCACGCATGCCCTGGAATCTGCCATGAAGAATGTGCAAGGAATCTATGCAAGACCGAAGTTTTGAAAGACCTTCCATGTGGCCACCAAAAAATTGTTCGCTGCTTCCAAGATCCCCGAAACGTATTTTGTTCTTCTCTATGTCAACGACTTCTGAATTGTGGTCATAAGTGTCCTTTGGTGTGTGGTCGTTCGTGCCAGGAAATTCGGTGTAAAGAGTTGTGTCAAAAGAGATGCCAAAGAGACCACCCCTGTCGAAGGCAATGCCACTTCGGTTCACCCTGTTATGAGTGCACAGTGCCAGTGAATGCGACGTTCCCCACGTGTGGTCACAACGTTAAAGTGCCTTGTTTTATTAACCCAGCTACACTGACATGCAATGAGCCATGTGAAAGATTGAGAGTCTGTGGACACCCCTGCAAAGACATATGCGGCATAGACTGCGAAACTCGACCGTGTCAGACACCTGTAACCAGGCTATTATCATGCAAACATGTTGTGGCTCTAGCTTGTCACAAAAATACTGAAACGTTCATTTGCAAAACTAAAGTTGACGTACTTTTGCCATGTGGACATACGACTTCGTTGGAATGTCATGTCGCAAAAGTAGGGTTAAACGATGTTTTAAGCATGGAAAAGGTAGGAAACGAATTGCGTTGCGGCCATAAAGTCAACCTTCCACAGTATTGCTTCCAAGAAAAGGTGGAAATCACACTTTTTTGCGGACGGAAGAAGTTTACAACATCCTCTAGGAAGCAAGAACAATTTCAGAGTGGAAGATGTAACGCTAAGGTGAAGAGAAGACTACCTTGTGGTCATGAAAAGGAGATGCAATGTTCAGATAAAGGAGACAGAGTATTCTGCGATGAAAAGTGTGAACGCATTCTCCCATGCAAACACTCATGCGGAAAAAGATGTGGTGATGACTGTGCAAGCTTTAGATGTGTCGTCTGGGTTAAAAAGGTTTTGAGTTGCGGGCGCCATGATGTCAGTTGCTTTTGTTCTGAGGATGTTTCCCAACGTATTTGTTCAAATCCGTGCACTCGGAGTTTGCCTTGTGGCCACCAACAAATTGTTCGTTGCTCCCAAGATCCCCATACCGTATTTTGTTCTTCACCCTGTCAAAGACAGCTTATTTGCGGTCACAGCTGTCCTTCTCCGTGTGGCCGTTTGTGTCAAGAAGTTCAGTGTAAAGAGTTGTGTCGAAAGAAGTGTCCCAGAGGTCACCCCTGTCAAAGGCAATGCCACTTTGGTTCATCCTGTTATGAGTGCACAGTGCTAGTGAATGCAAAGTTTCCCACATGTGGTCACAACGTTAAGGTGCCCTGTTTCATTAACCCAGCTACACTGACATGCAATAAGCCATGTGAAAGATTGAGAGTCTGTGGACACCCCTGCAAAGACATTTGCGGCGTAGACTGCGAAACTCGTTTAAGCCTGGAAAAGGTAGGAAAAGAATTGCGTTGGGGCCATAAAGTCACCCTTCCATTCTACACAAACCCCGCACAGCATTGCTTCCAAGACAAGGTGGAAATCACACTCTTTTGCGGACACAAGAAGTTTACAACATGCTCTAGGAAGCAAGAACAATTTCAGAGCGGAAGATGTAACGCTAAGGTGAAGAGAAGACTACCTTGTGGTCATGAAAAGGAGATGTACTGTTCAGATAAAGCAGACAGAGTTTTCTGCGATGAACCGTGTGAACGCATTCTCCCATGCAAACACCCATGCGGAAAAAGATGTGGTGATGACTGTGCAAGCTTTAGATGTGTTGTCGGGGTTAAAAAGGTTTTGAGTTGTGGGCGCCATGATGTCAGTTGCCTTTGTTCTGAGGATGTTTCCCAACGTATTTGTTCAAATCCGTGCACTCGGAGTTTGTCTTGTGGCCACCAGTGTCCTGGAAAATGCTATGAAAGATGCAGTGAGTATAAGTGCCAAATGTTGGTTGTTAAGAATCTACCTTGTGCAGGAAACCACTCTCTGAAAATGTTTTGTAACGACGACCCCAGTATCGTGGAATGTCGAGCGCGTTGTGATCGCAAACTAGAGTGTGGTCATCGATGCCCTGGATTTTGTAGTCAAGCCTGTGGAGCAATCATTTGTAGACGTAAGGTGGTGAAGGAATATGGTTGTGGCCATAAACAACAAGTACGTTGCTTTGAACGTAAAACTGTTATTTGCAAAGCACCTTGTGCACGTCAAGAAAGATGCACACACAAGTGTAAGGGGTTCTGCGGGCAGCCCTGTTCCAAATATCCCTGCAAAGTTCTTTTGGTTAAGACCTTGCCGTGTGGTCACGAGGTTAAGATGCCTTGTAGCTTATCTATTGATGATGTACAATGTCTTGATTCTTGTAAAGCTCAGCTGCCGTGCGGTCACGAATGTACTGGAACTTGTTGGGAGTGCAAGCAAAGGGGATCACATGAAATATGCCAACATCCTTGTAGCCGAGTTCTCGTTTGTTCGCACCGTTGTCAAGCAACGTGCGGCAGGCCATGCCCACCTTGTGTTAGAAAATGCAGTCGACGTTGCCCTCACAGTAAATGCCCCGAACAGTGTTTACAACCATGCAGACCATGCATAAAACCATGTACTTGGATTTGCCCCCATTACCAGTGCAATAATCCATGCGGGGAGGAATGCGATCGCCCACGATGTGATGCCCCCTGCCCCAAGAAGCTCCCTTGTCGCCACCCTTGCATTGGTCTGTGTGGAGAAAACTGTCCCACTGTGTGCGCCATTTGCCACTCTAAAAAGCTCTCGTCCATGATTGGCCAAGGAAATTTTAAAGCAACAGAAGCTACAAGATATCTGCAGCTTTTAGATTGTGGTCATATTGTAAATGTTCAAGAGATGGACGAATGGATGCTGCGTGATATGGGAAGTGATGTCAATCACATTCAGTGTCCTAGATGCTCCACACCGATTACGTTCAGTTATCGCTATGGAAATATCGTCAAGAGGACCCTGAGAAACATGGAAAATGTTAAGAAACAAACACGTGACATTAGAAATGAAACCACCAGGTTTACCAGAGAGATTCTGAGTAAACTGCGTCTCCCCCCAGAAGGAATTCTGACTGTAGCTAGGAAACTGTCAGGACGTCTAGGCTCAACGGGGTTGTATAACGTACAAATGCAGGACATTCCCTTTGTTTTTACTCTGAGAAACAGCCTTCTTATCATCCATCAAATTGAGAAAGCGTATCTCATTTTGCAAGCAGTTGGAAAATGTCAAGATCAGCTGCAGGTAACAGATCACTCGAGAGCCATCAAAGATGCTTTAGAAAAGATCTCAGATTACCTCACGATCCCTCAGTTTGATTTGGCAACTTTGAGACAATTGTATGAACATACAAGAACGTTTACCATTTTCGCTTCCATTTTAGAAGCTCAATGCCAAGTCATCACTTGCGGCGGATCTTTTTCCAGCATTGGGGTATCATGTTTGAAAAATGCTCAAGAAAGGTTCGAATTATTCATTAAAGGGAACAGTAATATCCTTCAAAACGATTGGCTAGAAAAAATCGCAGCTTCTTTGAGAAACGAGGTCGGCCTTCTACCCCTTCCACCCGAGGAACCCAAGACTGAATTCAAGAACTTCCCAGGCTATAACACCAGTGTGTGGAAATTGTGCAAACTGCATGGTCAAGTGTATCTTACCACATCATTTATGCGTGAAGGAGAGGATGTGACCGCGATAAGTGGTTGCAGACAATGCGATGGCACAGATGACACTGACGAAAATACTGGATAGGAGTCGGAGGAGTGGCAAGTCATCATGCAGTCATCGGAGAGGAAAACTGTTTTAAGCACAAGTTGCAGTCACGATGACGGCTTTTTAGAAAACCCTGCAAATGAGAGCATTCTCATCAACTTAACAAAGTTTTTACATCTAAAATGTTAACTAGTGGTACCAAACTGATTATTCAAGCCTCCACAGGGCTCGACCAACCTACCGTAAAATTGCGAAAATAAGCCCCGTCCATGTATAAACCCTCCAAATATAGCCCCCCGAACTCATAACGCCAAAAAAAACCTCCGATAAATCGCCCCTCCAAATACAGGCCTCCGGGGACTTGTACTCGGAAACTTCCCTCAAATTCAAAATAAAGCAAAGCAAAAACTGTAAGGTAACACATAAATGTCTGCATGTGCCAAATAACTGTTACGTATGCCAAATGACTGCAGTCAAAAAATGTCACAGTATAGTACTGTTTGCGTAGTTCACTCATCAGTCTTGACTTGGATTTCCTCGGTGCACATAGACAAAGTAATTGCATGGCTGAGGTTTAGAAAGATCTGCGTCCTCAAGGCGAGTTTTAGTAAAAACTTGCTGCAGGTTCAGGGCCGTAGCTGGATTTTTGTAACAGGGAGGCATTATCGCGACTGCCGAAGGCACGAATCTTGTAGGGGGTTCTGGGGGTATTCTCCCCCCCCCCCCCAAATTTTCAAATTTAGAGAGTCCGAATTGCTATTTTCAGTACTTGCTATGAGATATGTCTCCGAAAAATCGACCTCGAATAAGTGCTTTTTTCTGAGGTCCTATTAAATTGAAGCACACCGTATATCCAAGGACTAGTTCACTAAACATTTCACAATACTACGTGATGAAACCTATAAAAAAATGTCTCCAGTTTGATTTTCGTTCCTCTGGTGTATGTAGTTGGTTTCACGATGAATAAGCATCATTGCGAGGCCACCCGAACGTGTCCGTAGCTTCAGATGACGCAGAGAAGAGAAGGATCTTTCACAAGAAACACTACCAACTGGTGTGGTGAGGAAAATTGTAAGGACTTTGTAGAGTGCTGGGAACTATTTGCACACATGGCAGACCAACCAATTTCTGGGCCATGAAAATGGCAAACTATTGAAAGTCTCAAGAAAATAAATCCATCCACAGAATTAATTTGTCTGGCTCAACAGGTCCGGGGGGGGGAGTGGTAGCTCCTGCCCCTTGCTAGCTACGACTCTAAAATTACTGACATGAATTTCCTTCCAACTATAAGCTAGCCCAATTGAGATGCATATTTCCCTCCTAGTATAAGCCTAGCTGATTTTGAAACGCAAATTTTCCTCTGTATATATAAGCCCTTCAAAAAGGGCCTTTGGAAAATAGAAGCCCCGGGGCTCATTTTCGGAATTGTACGGTATACCATTTATGATTTAACCGGTATTAATTCAGTATTTTCTTGACAAAATGACCCTCTTGCATGAGTAACCTAACAGTTTTAATCCAAAGTAAAGTACAGCAGTAAAAGTTACCGCCAGATCACGCATTACCAAAGCCAGACGTCTCTTAGTAAAGGCTACGTAGAGCTAATCCTCGGTAATCCTAAACTGAAATAGTGGCAAAAATAAACAGAAAAAGAAGCAAATAAATAAATAGGTTACACCAAGAAAGACAAGCTGAAAGTAACAAGTAATAGTATAACAGTTAAGTATATACGGGCTGTTCAGAGGTGATAATGATTTAAAAAGAAATAACACGGGAAGATTGCTACGTACTTTAATCGTTATTTCTGAACGACCGAAACGATGGTTATTAAGTAATTCAGCGGGTTGATCCGATCGCTTCTAGAATTAACTTCCAACAATTTTTTTGGTAGTATATAACGGCAGGAAATCGAATGGCTAAAAAATGAAAACGCAGTTTCTTTCAGGAACGAAGTCAACATCTAAAATTGGAACCAACCAGATTGTGTAGACGTGTTTACTATAGTTGTAGCTTTCGCCTTGATTGGGAAAGACTCCCAGCTGCCATGTTGCCATTACCATAAAAGGTCCAAAGCAGGACATTACCTTGGTGCCTTATTGTTCGCACCATGTAAGGGAATCTTGCTTGTGGAATCTGGAATCCGGGAAAATTTTGCTCGTGGAATCCTGAATCCTGGGCTTTTGGAACACACGATACCACTCAAGGAATCCGGAATCCCACCAACGATTGGATCCCAGAATCCTAGTTCCACTGACAAAGACTGGCATCCAGTACCTGGAATCCGGAATCCAAGACTGCCTTGAATTCCCTTACATGGGGATGGGGCTTTATTGTTTTGGAAATTTTTGAAGCAATGTGGAGAATGCGAAGACAGTTTCTGTTCTCCTCTCTTACGTCAACAGACGCGTTTTATGGAGGTGGAGGAGTAGGAAAATGATCTGGCATATATAAGGCAGGATATTTTCAAACATATTCAATTAATTTTTTGTTATCAAGATGCACTACAACATGACTAACGTAGTTGTATTAAATGAATCCTCAAAACTGCAGTAGTTTAAGCTTCAAGCTACTTTGTTTTTAGCTCAGCCATAAAAACGTACATTCATCAGATCTGACAAAAACCAAGTGCTGGAAAAGGCAGGAGCCAAAGAGCACTTCCCTTGTGCCCATACAACAGCATCCTTCACAGGCAGGTGTATATAAGATCGATTTTCCTACGAATTTTTAATATAACAATGAAATGTCTTACAAATCACTCATCAAAATCCGGAGACTAAAAGATAGTATTTCGGGTGTTTTGATAGCATTTACTTCTTCTTTTTGTAGTCATCGTGCTATGGATGCGCACTCATAACGCACGGTGCCTCCAATTTCGCGGGAAAAAGTGCTCAAAAATGATGCTAAAAATAACAATCTGTGAAAATACCGTTGCACGAATTTGTGGCAGTCGCACCCTCTGGCTCATGGGCTCCTGCTAAAACCAGTTTTCCTGTTTAACACCCCATTCGACCATGGACAAATAGAAGGAAAGAATTAGGGTTTTTAATTCTTTGTAAATTTAGTTGACAACTGAAGAAAACTTAATCTTAACCTGCCTTTGTTTTAGTACGCAGAAATTCGCAGGATGTTACAAAATGTGTGTGAATTTGCTCGCATCCTTGATCCACTGCGTAGACTCCCAACCGTCACGTGATGACGAATGGCTCAAAAAGAGGGAAGAAATGAAAAGTGGAATATTCCTGTGAAGGAATACAAGATTTTTCATTGATGATGAAAGAATCCATTTTTATCTCTGGCATTTAACAACATGATATTGCAATTTGCACTTAGACTTTTAGAAAAGCAAAAGGTCCATCATTGACAAGCATTTCTTTTTATACAAAACTCACATTCAAATCCAATCTCAGACGCACTAAACACGCTCCACCCTGTTCTGTCGGGTTTCCGAGGGAAAATATCACAACGGCGACAATATTTCTTTGACCGAAGTGATATATGATGCAGAAAATAAAAGTACTCAATTTCAGTATTACTTAAGGTTAATTATCGATACACACACCATTGAAACACTTCCAAGTCCAAGGGTACTTGAAAAAGTGGTGTGTTCACGTTGCTGTGCAACGAGTGACGTCCTCGGGCACCTGTTAGCCTGCGTAGCATGGCGATTTTGGTTGGGTGCGCAAAGTAAATAAAAGCGGGCTAGGGCAGAGAAACCGCGAGGAGATTTGGGCCTCGCGGCTTGGCCTCTCGTTCGCGCTCGCTTTGCCCGCGTTTTTGTGGCTTCGCCGCTCAGTAGTGCTCTCAAAAAAACCGCCACGCTACACAGGCTAGGCACCTGCAAGCCGTCAACACAGCCTTAGCAACACTCGTCAAGATCATCAAAACCACTGTAAAGACACTGAACTCACTTTCTCTGTACTAGTCAAACAACATAAAATCTAGGCTGGTCACCACCGTAATTTGGACTTTTTCTACGTACAGTATACAGGGGCACCCAACGACCGAATGCTTCCACGCACGCCAGAAGTGTCTCAAATGGTTTTCACTGTGCTTGATAAGCCTCTTTGGTTAATTTGGAGTTGCTCCAAAAACTATTTATCTGTTTCGATGTCTTGGGGAACTGTGGTTGTCACGAAAGTCTTACTGGTGGCTTTTTGGTCTCATCCGCAAGTGTTAGCTACCCTTATGGGTCCGGTAGAAAGTTTGGGGACATGAAGTAGCCTTGCTTTCGTTAGAAAATTATAAGGGACGTATTGTCTCTATACCGAAATTTTTAGGAGACCTTTTTGAACAATAATCGTAATATCTTGGTATTAAAAAGGGCAATAGCACAACTTCTGAAAATAGTAGAAAGCTATTAGAAAACCTCCGGATATCTTAGACGAATGGAACGGTTATCCAGAAATTTTAAGCTTTTCTCAAGCTTTAGAAATTTCTAGACAATATTTGCTCCTTCGAACAGTTATTGTGCAGAAAAAAGTCGCCGGGTGCCCCTGAGTATAAGCCCGACCCTTCGCAGTCTACTTCCCAACGCACCAGAGAGACAAAACCGAAGGCAATTTTTTGAATCTCTTTTTGTGTGTGTTTTATTTGACTGGGGAAAGAATTGGAGTTTATGGGAGGTAAGGTGCGAGGTGTATAAAGACTCAGGATAGTCAGCATTCCACTGTCTAGGAAGTCCAAACAAAAGATCGTCTCATAAAAAAGCTCATTTCTTAAGTGACACCACTTGTACGTTTGACATTTTTAAGGCGAGCTTTGTTTCTCCATCAGCAATGACTGCGAGATCTAAATGCTTTGTGACAGTGTGTGTATAAAATGGTGATAAAATCTGACATGATGACGTGAACTTCCGTTACCCTTAAAAAGTTCACGCACGCATTCTACCACGTTTTCGACACAAAAAAAAGATTATGGCCGATAAAAAGGTCGCGATAGTTATAGACAACGGCTCTTGTACTACAAGGGTTGGTGTTGGTGGAGAAGATACCCCTCACGTAACATTTCCCTCTATCGTTGGTCATCCTAAACACTATGACCCGAGGGTTGGCAAAAGTTGGCTACACTGCTCCATCGGCGACGACGCACTCGTGTAGAGGAATGATCTGGATTTGTTATATCCTATCAAAAATGGCATCGTAACAGACTGGGATGAGATGCATTGGGTAATGAAGCTTTTTGAAAAAGAGTTAGAGGAGCTGTGGCACGAACTCAGTAATCTCAAACAGTGGGAACCGTCACCAAACTGACTGACGCATTAAATAACTGCTCAAAACATGAAAAGAAGACCTATTAACACAGCAAATAAAAACAGGAGAAACGTATGGGGAAACTTGAAGAAGATTAAAACGGATTAGTTGTGTAAATCATTACCTAAGTGATGATAGTTAATTGTTGAATGTTGTGACACGCCGCATTTAATCGAGTCATCACCAGGCTTATATTTCAGTCGTAATCTCTAGTCGATCTGTTCGAACCATTTTTGATTCACCCTAATTCCCTCCCACCCTTAAGGTGTCGGAGTTTTATTGTCTACGTATGTAACACGTCTCGGTTTGGTTTTCTCGACCAGTGTAGCAATAAAGCTCCAATTTTATTCCCAAACTCTCGTGGTCTGTGTTTGTATGTAAACAATTATTGTGGTTTTTGAACACTTCTAAGCCTTACAGCCTTTTGTTGTTTGTATCGTTTCATATTCTGCTTGGGAGACATGTTTGTTTGACACGAAGCTGTAATTTTGCCATTCACAAGTAATTTCGAAAGTTCCATGGCGAGTAAAGAAGTGTAATTGGCAGTATTAACAAAATGTATAAGACAACTGTGACACAACCCCTTTAATTTCTTGGCGTAGGTTATTGTACACTTATTTTAACATGCATGGCTTTGTTATCTACGATGCAGATTGGGGATCATATTTTTAACCAGGTGTTTGCCGCAGAAACCAAGGGCTGTCTTGTTCTACTGATAGAGCCCCCTTTGAATCCAAACGCTAACAGAGAAAAGACTACTGAGGTAAAAACCATGATCATGTATAGAGTCTGAAATGTCATACGTCTCCATGGGGTGGAGACGTATGACATTGTCTCTACTTGTCTTATAAATGTATATGAGGACTCCAATCAAATTATTCCGCGTTCTTTTTAGCCCGGATATTGCGCAAACCTCAACATAAACAAGAAATATAAATAAATATAAGTCAGACTGCTCATGTTTCAAAATTCAATGATAAATTGCTATGGATCTGCGTGACGCAAACGTACGGCATTATCATCACACAATCTATCCTCATGAGCTTAAAGACTGCGTGACAAGCCTATCTAAAACTACAACTAGTAATAGTTGACACTACAGCTGCCCCCGTTCTGTATATTGTAGGTCAAAAATATTCTTGCTCGCTGTGTAGCTTTTTGAAATATACCTATTCGTAATGAAGATTTTCACACATATTCCATACAGTAATAGGTGAGATAAATACAGGAAACGCAAGGTTCCATGCATAGTTTCAGTTCGATTTACACAGCTTTGATCAAACATTCCGAGTGTCGAGAATAGTTAAATGCAAAATTTGCAATAAATGTACTCTACAGTTATAATAAAAATGTAGCCATA